TGTCACAGAAGACAGAGTAAACAATTTTGCAGCTTGTCTGGCACCACCTAATTCATAGATCCTCCTACTAGTGCAGTGGTACTGCAGAGGTATAGGAAATATTTGCAAGAGAAACCACATCAGTCTCACTTGGTTTGCATTTCAAGATGAATCAGATTTGTCACATGCAGCACAGTTTCCTGAACCTGTTCATAAAGCTTTGGGGTGTTTAAAGCAGAGGCTAGAAGATATCCCTGGAAGTGGCAGTGGAGAGCAGAAAAAGTCCAAAGACATCTGAAAAGTCTGTGCAGGATGCAGGCTCCCTCCAACCAACAGGCAGGGCAAGTGCAAGGCAGAAAGTCTCTGCCCTTATTTCTGTCTTCTTGAGATGTTCACCTGGCAACTTTTCTTGCAAGCCATACCTCAAAGTCTCGCTGGGCAATGGTGTATGTCTGAGGAACACAGGGGTTGGAAAATAAAACCAGAGAACCCTGGAAATAGGGTTTTCCCCCCCATAATACAAATAAAAATTCCATTTACCCCATATCAATCCCCCCAAAATTAGGGGATTCTCTGAAACCCCTGTGATTTGAGTTTACTTATCTGGGATTTTTGCCCATGTTTTCCTTCTCTTTTTTTCTCTTACTGCCTCACTGCCATATGCCCCTGCAACCTCCCCATCTAGCATTGTTTTCTCCCCAACTTATTTTTGTTATCTTCTGTGTTCTCTCAGAAGACACTGCAGAAGACCCATATCACCAAAGTCACCCCATCTATATCCTGTGGTGGTACCTGCTTAAGCTGGAAGTTTCCACAATATCTGCCATTCCAAGTGATGTACAGCATCCCTCAAGCATTCTATTAATGTCTTGAACATCATTATGTGCATTTTGCTTTCTTGCTCAGTTTTCTGGCATTGTCTGCCTAGGTGCGAAGCAGTGCTTGGGGATCCTATGATCCAAGAGTAACAAGATGAGCCGGGACTATGCCAACCCTTCAAATCACTGCATCGTAACATGGACGCAGCTAACTTCTCATAGCTGGTTATATGAGTCTGGGTAAGTGTGGAGTGTCCCAGAAGAACTGGACATGGGTAAATTTCACAGTTTTTTGGGTGAATTTCCCAGCTACTTGGGTTACTGTTAGCTAATTTGGAGTTAGCTAAGGTATGTCTCCTTTGCAGTTTAAAGTGGAACTGTCTGCATCTTGCAATGCCAATGATTTCAGGGCCCAAGGCCAGGTGGACCTGAGGAAGGCTGTGGATGGCGCAGAAGGGACTGAGTCAAACCTAGTCTGGGGAAATGCCAAGAGCTGCAACTTCTTTGAGTTCAGCTAAAGTCACAGTTCCTGAGATCTGCAGGCACCATATGATGAGGCTGAGATAGGACAAGAATCACAATTGACCTGGTGACCAGGACAACTTCACCATTTTGCTCACCACCAGCACCAACCCCAAGGCAAGCCAAAATCCCAAAGCTAGAAGCATCATCACAATCCCAGCAGCAAAATTCCCTCAACAACAGCAGGAACAGAAAGAGTGGCCAGAACAAAGCTCTTGACCTTCTTTTCCTCATGTATTTTTTTAAAAGAACAGGTTGTAATTAGAGCTGGAGGAAATGGAGCATAAATATCAAGCTTTGTTTAGTCTGGGGAAATATCATTTATAATTAGACATGGGCATCTTGTTGACAAGATACAACCTATTTTAATCATTAGGTAAGCACATGATCGACTTCTGATCTTTTGCAGGTGTTTAAAAACTGCCAGTTCTTCCTGGTTGGTTTCTTTCCTTCCCCCCCCCCCGCCCTTTTCTTTTCTTTTTTAGTGTAATTTCTAAAAAAGTTACTGGGCTAACGTCAGTTCAAAATAATGATGCTTATACTGGCAGGGATGTCTTGGAGCATCTCAGTAGCTGGGAATTTTGCTTTCTGTTCATGCACTTCCGTTTGTCTCAATGCCAGCCCCACAAACCAAGCCTGTTTCTCTCTCCTGTGAAACAGTAGGAATCTTCCGAGACTTTGAAGGGGAGGAGGTGGCCCAGGGTTGACTGTATGACCAGCACTGACCTGTGGCCTTTTTTTGAAGTGGGATTTGCTGGTTGCCACATCCTGCTGCCCTAGTATGGAGGCATCTAGGATTTGTGCATGGCAGGTACTAGCAGAAATTATTGCAGGTTTGGTGCTTGTAAGCAATTCTGGTGGCACAATCCTATAGGTCTTCAGGGTATGGTGTCCCTCCTAGTGTCCTCAGGTTGTTTCATGGGGTGTGCATGGGTACATTGATGCTGTTAGATAACCTCTTTCCCCACAGTCAACCACAATGAGGGTTAGCTCTCTTATGGGCATCCATCCCCACCAAACCAGCCTATTCCCTTTAAACTGGGATTTCCTTCAGGGCCTGCTTCAGGTTTGGTTGCTTCTGCTCCACACAGTCCTCCTATACTGTTCCAGAGCAGTTTTTCATGCTGTCCCCACATTATTCGAGGCATTCTGAAAGAAAGTTAACAGTGAAAGAACAATCTCAGGGCTGTGCAGGCACCATCCAGAGGTAGACATCTGAGTGCTACACAACCGGACATAGCCAACCTGCTCTAAAGAAAGGAAAGGTCTGCGTGGATTAGGCCAGGGATCACTCCCTGGGAGAGATATCTTTAGCGGGAGAGAAGTGGAGAAGTATCAGCACTCAGGTGTGACTGGGTATCAACCCAGTTGGGTTGACCCAACTTTCTACAGCCCACACACCAGAGGTGGAGGTCTAACAACAGCAGGATCTGTGTGAATAATTTCTTCTGCTTTCATATAAGTCTGAAATTTGTTATTGGGAGACTTCCAATCTATTCTGTGTCAGGCCATTTTCCTGTTAGCACCACTTGGAAAATACAATTGGACCCACATCTCTAAGCAGCAGGTACACAGCCATCCTCTAGGCTTGGCTGCTGTGTCATAAAGTTGGCCATCAGGTTGGCCTGACGAGGTTACATGTGAGGAGGGGATACAGTATCTCCTTGTGCTTTGGTGAGCTCCCATTATCAGTCCCAGTCCCATTATTCAGTCAGCTCGACTGAATTATGAGGTGAGTTTCATCTTGGGCAGGAGATGTACACCAACGCATCAATATCAAGTTGATGCCAAACCAAGCATCACAGCCACTAGGCACAGTGCCACACGATGGAGTGATAGTGGACTCCTAGTTTACACATGGCACAGGTTTGTTGTTTACACATGGCACAGGTTTGTTGCGGCTTTTGTACCACATGATTGCTCATTGGTATTGCCCTGTATTCTTGGGACCAGCTATGTCCTGTAAAAGTGCTGTTCTGAGGTCATCAGTAAGGGTTTGGAACTACTGTACACAGGCAAGCTCCTCCACATAGGCTTCTGTTACCAAGACAAGTCAACAGGAAATTGTTCACTTACTATTGTTAAGGCATTTGGCCTTTAAAAATATGCTATACATGTACACAGGCAATATCTATTGTGGTATTAAAATTTTTATTGTTTACTTTACTATTCAATTGATTATCCTTGTTACATTCTTATTGCAATAACACATGCAAAATGTACTTATTGTGATATTTAACTAACCACATCTTTCACATCTGTAGACGTTTTCATCTTGAATCTCCCAGTATGGTGCAGACTTGAAGTAACTCTGACAGGAGCTGGTGTGCTACAGAGAACAAACAGTAACCTATTGCAGAGAAATAAAGGCTGGAGCCAGCACATGTTTAGCAGAATCCACAAAGCTGCTTGGTACATGGTATTAAAGGTCATGGCTTTTTATTTGATTTTAACAAGCAGATCCAGGAAAGTGGGACAGAATTGGTGCTGTCCAGGAGAAGGGAGTTAGTACTCTCTTTTTTTTGGTCCATCCAAAATCCTCGGTCGTCATTGATCTCAGTGCAAAGTGTGCAGAACACACAATGCTGAAGGCAAACCTCTCCTTCAGGGTGGAGGTGGAGGTCACTCAGTGGAGATATTCCTCACGCATCCGGGGAAGAAGGTGGAAGGTGTGCAGTGGTCCCTGGGAGATTTGCTTTAGTCCCTGGTGCCTGTGGGAGCTCCCCAGCGGCGTGACCCAGGGGAGGTCATGTCCTGGCTGCTGAAGCCAAGACTCATTTTGATCCTAAGACACCCATGGAGGAGCTGGCAAAACTCCATTAGAAGTTTGCTCTGCTGCAAACTAATGTGAAGAGTCCAGTGTACACCTGCCCAGGTATCAGGGCACATCTAAGCAGAAGAAGACAACACAGGCAATGCACAGGTCCCCCACTGATTTACACAAGCGTATTTCTTCTGAAATAAAAGGGAGCCTCACATCCAAGGAAAAGAAAGAAAAATCCATCCCATTGACTTTTCTGGAAGGCATTTATGTTATTACTCATTCAAGTATTAAACTGAATTTATCCTTTCCCCCAAGGGTGCATTTGATCATCTCACTGCTGTGCCACAGAGACACACCTGAGCTGTTGAGACACCAAATGTGAGTTTTCCCTATTGTGAAGCTTCCCTCCCATATACCATTTTCCTACACAATCCATCCTGCATGGCCTTGGAGTTTAGGGTTTGCAGCTAGCTCAGTGTCCCTCATTTACCCTACCTCCTGAGAATCTGCAGGCTGACAGCTGTGAAGTAGGCATAGATAACTTCAGAGACAAGCACATGTCCCCAAAGCCTGCAGATAGAATTTTTTGTGGTATTCACAGACTGTTTCATATGTCAATATGAGAGTAGCATAATTACCAGCTGAGAAACTGCAGGAAATAAGCCAAGATTGAATGAACGAAATGGAAAATAAAGAAAAGAGTAGAGGACACACACATTTTAAAACAATTATGGAGGTATGTATTCATGTGCTCGTGGGAGCCTGGGAATATATAAGAGATTATGACTGCAAAGGAATGAATTCAAGGACCAGTCTGTGGGGAGTATTTTTTTTCCCTGTGACTTCAAACTTCTCTCAGAGCTCACAGAATTTTAGTCAGCTGGCATGCAATAGAGGTACGACTCCCCTAAGGAAACTCTTCCTCAGCTTACTCTGGAAAAGCTCCTGGGAGAGCCTGGGAGGCAGAAGGCTGCAAGCAGAGGCGAAACCTCCTCCTCATTCTCCTTGAGCCACGGAACAGGTACGTGGAGATGCGTGTGAACGCGGGAGCGTGGTGGAAAGTTGAGCTTTTGACTGTGGGAGAGATGAGGGCTCCAGTGACTTAGAGCTGCAGCCTTTAAAATTAACACAGATGAGGAAGTTACACTATAAATAAAATATTCTGTGTTTATGAATAGGCTGAAGAACTGGCTAAACACACTGTGTAGATGGCTTTATCCACACAGCTGTATATTTAATCCATAAGGGACTTGCACTGCAGCGAGTTAGATCCCTTATGTTAAGGAGGCACTGGTTAGTTTATAACAACACAGTTGTCATATGCAGAGTTTGTTATTCTTCTCTGTGCTTACAGCAATGAAAGATGGGGACATGTTTGGGCATTTTTTCTTTCTTCACAGGACTTCAGTCTATTTATGGTATCACTGCATTGTAGTGCTGTGAACCAGGAGTATTGCAGAGATCAGCATTGTGCACTGATTAAATGCCATTCGCCCATCTCTCTGAAACTGAATCCTAATATAGCCTTGGGCAAATCACACAGTCCTGGGGAAAAATGACCAAAAGGCTGTTTGGCTCATCTGCTCTTCTTACTATCAGCACTGTCATTGAGCTCTCCCCGTTGGGGCAAGAGGTGTGGGATGGCAGGATTATTTTGCTACTCTTAAGATCTTGACAGCTTGAATGTCACCTTGGGTGAATGATGACTTACTGAGAGGGTTTTGCTGCATCTGGACTGTTATCAAGGCAATTAACATTTAGACAATACTTGGAACTGGTAAAGTTTTAGAAAATCCTAATTTTATAAAAGTCACAGATAAATTTATAAAGCCAAAGCCTCTTGTATTTTTGATAAAAGTGTAGATATGTTTCCCTTAAATAGAATCAAAAGTTTGACTTTCCACAACAGTGGAAATCTGTTTGTGTTTTTTTTGGTTTTTTGTTGTTTTTTTTAAATAAGATGTTATCATTTCAACTTTGAAATCAACTTATTACTCTAAAATGCTAAAATCCTTTCATTTTCAATAACAAAAATTCACAACCAGTAATCTCTTTTTAAAGCAGATGGTTACATCTCATTGACCATATAGTTGCTCGACTTTTTACTAATACAACGATGGATGGTTTCAATGGGGAATATCAGTATCGTGCAACCATGTCTTTGAGAAATAATTTTCCTCACCTCATTTTGTCTCCTGTCAGGTCATATAAATTAAATACACCTTTTCCCAAACACTGACTTAACTGCCAATTAAAATAAAAATGCTGAATTAAAAGCCTATTTTTCTCTTTTTTTCTGCACTAGGATAAGATGGTAAGAAATTATTGTTTTAGTTCCTGAATTTGAGTTTCCCCCAGAGCTTTGGTCAACAGGGAAAGTATTTCATGGTCAGATAGTTTAATTTGCAAATGTCACTTTTTGCTGATGTGTCTTCATTTTCCCATCTCCTAGTATCCCTTGACCCAACCCATCATTCAATAAGTGTCCAGGCCTGTGGGTTTCATGCAATTCTGGTTTATTTAAATTTTCTTTCCTGGAAAGAGGAGTATTAAAACATGGTAATAAAATGGGGAATCTGGCTAAACTCTGTGTGTCTGATTAATTGAAAATGTTAATTTTTAGTGGGGACATGCTGTTGGCTAAACACGTAGTACAGGTGCAGATGAAGAGAGGACAGAGAGAGAAAGGAGAAAGACAGTAGCTTCTAAAGACAAGAGAAAAAACATGCTGGGGTCACAAGAGATGTAGAATGCCTTATTTTGACACGTGGACTTGACGCCAGAGAGGTATGAGGCTGCATCTGCCCATGAGACACTAAGCAATGGCACAAGCAAAATGAACTAGGAGAAGCAACTCCTGGAGAAGTTGCAGGGTCTCGAGAGCTGGAGCTGTGCCTCCTTCTCAAAAGCTGTGGCTGAGGATGACATCGGCTATTTACTTTTCTTAATAGGGTTAATATTGAAATCTCCAGCTCCCTGGTAGGACCAATCACCAGGGAGCTATTCCAGCTGAAAGGGAGCAAGACTCATACTACTTCTGCGCTTGCAGTTCAGACCCACTTTCTGAGGCAAAAGTTTGGTTTTTTTACTTAACTGATTGTGAGATACTGGATCCGAATCTCGCTGAATTATTGATATGAGTCGGAACCAACTCACTCTGTGTGTGTGTGTGTAAGGACTGGGCCTAGACCCACAGGTACGTGGTAAGGCCTGCACATCAGGCCTGCTGGGAGCACATGGCAGAGCTGGAAGGCCTGTGGCCAACATGGCTGAGCCCATGGAAAGCACAAGGCAGAGCTGAAGGCCATGTAGCTGAGCTGTCAGTCAAGGCAGACCTGCCTGGTAGCCCACACACACACACACACACACACACACCCCATGTCCCTAGAAACTGTGACTTGCACCCCTTACTCTGGCCTGGAAGGCACTGGAAGGCACTGGAAGACCTGGGAGGGAAAACTAAACTGAGACTCTGTATGAGCTCTCTCTTTTCTCCTGCAACCTGCATCACGCAAATCATCGAATCCTGTCGGTAACTGTTTTTCCTTTTCTCTGTCTCCTTATCTCTTTCTTCTCTCTTTCTTTACCCTTTTAATCTGTTTTCTTCTTTTACTCTTTTCCTTTTCTTGTGAGTAACTTAAAACCAATTAATTGTGTTTTACTAAAGCTGGTATATTGATTCAGTGGAATGGGTTTTTGTGCTGGGTGTTTTAATGCAATGCTTTTTCTTGGTTGTATTTTACTCCTTAAAAACTGTTTGCCAAAAAATCTTATTATTCTCACTACATTGAAATACTTTCTCTTAGAGAAAAGTGTGTGATTCTTTCTCTGGATGCAAATTCAAGGTTATAACAAACCAAAAGGCTTTTTAAAAATCTTAAATGGAATGTATCCACTCTGGGCAGTTTATAGCTTAAAATCTGTAGTGTGACACTGATGTAAACTCTTCTCTGAAGAGTTTGATTCGTATGGCTCAACACAGGATTCAACCCAGAAGCAGTGCCTTAGAAAACAGCAGTGTTATGGATGGACAAACCCTAAAAGTTCTGAAGGTTCAAGACACACAATATATTTTTGTTTCTCTGAAAGCATTAGGAAGCTGCAGCAAATTACAGTCCAGCTGGTGAGAGTCAGTGGCTGGGATTTGCTTTTCCTTCTTGCTCTGGGCCACGCTGGGAAGAGGGTTTGGAGGAGAGGAGATGTAGGTCTAAAGAGGTGCCATTGGCTTCATGTGGCATAGGATGTAATTCAGCTGATGTTGACAGAAACCAAGCAGGCAATGACTGCTAAGGAGACCACTGAAAAATCAGAAAGGGCCTGATTTCACACAGTCACAGGTGCAAACCCTTTGACATCAGTGGAATGGGAGAGCCCTTGCTATTTTGTGCGCAAAAGAGCTTGATTCTCCACTCTGCCAGATGGAGATGAGACTGGCTGGCTGCGGCTCTGAGCAGCCTGGTCTAGTGGAAGTTGTCCTTGCCAATGGCAGAGAGATTGGAACTAGATGATCTTCAAGATCCCTTCCAATTCAAGCCATTCTAGGATTCTGTGATTCTATGACCCAGTCTGTCTGATGAAGGTGATGCTTTGCAGACATGGCTTACCAAGCCCATACCATGCTAATATTTCAACATCACTTCAAGGTGTAAACTGCTGGGTAGCCCAAAGCACAAAAATAGTGAAATTTGGAAATCAGCCAAATGCTTCAGGGTCTTTGAAACTGGTTTCTGTCACATCTCCTTTAGAAACAGAAAAAGGTGGTAAGGACAGCACTGATTTTTCCCAGTGCAGCTGGTGTCCTCTGAGGCTGTGATTTTAATGAAGGAAAGTCCTGAACAGCAGAATCAGTGCATGCCCTTCCCTCCTGCTTTGGCATTTGTTTCTGTCCAGGCTCTTCTTCACGGTTCAGCTGGCACAGCTGCTTGGCCACTCGGTAAAACAGCTTGAGGAACAGAGCTGGCTTATTAAAAAGTGCAACCAACAAAACCTCTACTATTTTTATCCCTGCAAATCCAAACTTCCCAAAGTTCTCTGAACATCCATGTGTAGAAAATGTGAAGTTACAATCATTCTGGTTACTCACTGCTCTTCATTTCAGGCATATTAGTATTCCAAATAAAAATATCCCATTTAATTCTTTTTTTTTCCTCTTGAAGGCCTCAAATAATTGAGGTTTTCCTTGTGAAAGTGTCTGTGCATGTTAAGTGCTATTGCACACTGCTGACAAGGCAAACTCTAAACATAGAGCATCCAGAAGGAATTTAAACCTCTGGACGCCAGTCCCCAACTTTGACAAGAGTTTTCTGCTTATCCCAAGGGGATTGCAGATAGAGCTTAACTTCAGGAAGCATGCCAAAGGGATCAAGTGAAAAACAGCACTGCAGCCAGCTGCAACCTAGGGAAGCTCAAGACACAGTGTACTTGGGGGAAGGTGATCAAAATTAGTCTGATGAGAGCCCAGTCAAGGACAACCAGTCTGGGGTTGTGATAATCCCACTGGCAGGCTGTTCTCCTGAAAACTTAATGTGGATTTGTGCTGGTTTAAAGGTAAACCAGTAGGAGAAATGAACTCAACTCAAAAGAGATTATAAGTCAGAATTACAATTTAGTAAAAATAAAATAATAAATACAATTATTCAGACGAACAATTGGTTTTAGCCCACAGAACTCAGATGTATAACCCAGCGCCCTGGGGCATGAACAGAGTGGTGTTTGTTGGCCTCCGTGCTGAGCCCCACATGATCCCTAGAGTCCAAAAGTAAAAGGAGAGGAAAAACTTGTTGTTGTGAGTGATGGTTGCAGTCCAGTCGAGGTTCTGGTCTTCCTCTGGATCTCATAAGTGGTACCAGAAGTCCCAAGACCCCAAGATTATATACCCTCAGGTTCAGGTAGGAATGCCCAGTACCTCCCCCAGGGCAGGCAGTTCCACAATGAGTGATTGTGAGTCGTGAGTATGAGAACGGGAACATCCTCCTATCTCACAGGCCTCTTAACACCCAGCTTATAGCCTGAGGGGTCAGATGTGCTCTGGGCAGCTGCTGCAAATGGTCTATTGTTAACAGTTTCTGGGAAATGACATGGAGGGTGTAGAACACACAGTTTGGGTTACATCCACACAGTGATGAACTGGTCCCAGCTGTTCTAACTAGGACGGGATTTTTCTGTCCATTGCACATAATCATGACCTAACCTGTTGTTTTTGTCATAACATCTTCATAACTAAACCAGCAGCCTGGTCTAGAGGAAGGTCTCTCTGTCCGTGGCAGATGGGTTGGAACCAGATGATCTTTTAACCCAAACTATTCTGTGATTTTATGATTCTACGATTTATGCCTCTCATTTCAGAGAGCATTGCAAAGCAAACGAGATGCTAAGAGCCCATCTCTGAACAGAAAAAGAGTTCTTTAGTCCAGGACAGGTTTCTGAATTCTGGGCTTTATATTTATCAGCCATGAATTTTAAACTTTTAATCCTTAAGTGTTGTTTCCCTGAAGATGCAGAGAGAGATTTAGGTTCAGGAGGCCACAATGCCCCCAGGAATGTAACTCATAGACACAAAACCCTAAAGTAAACACGTTGCCGTGCCTCACACATGCAGACAGACAGTGGCAGTGGCAATAATAAGTCACTTATTCCCCCACCAAACCCATGGCCCAGTTGTGGCAGTTCCTCTGGCAAAAATCTCCCCATTTCTCAACTTCTGTCTCAAGGAAGGGCTTCAGGATGTTGCACAGCAGACAACTCTATTCAGAGAGGAGTGTGGAGAAAGACAAGCAGCATAATTAAAACAGACACTGTTCCAATTAAGGTTATTTCACTAAAAATACCTCTGTTCTGAACTTATGAGTGAGTGCCTTGGCATCCTGAGAAGCTGAAGAACAATTCCATTGGTGCCAGGACTGAATCCATTTTGAAGATCAGGATATGGTTTTTAAAGAGATAGTAAGTGGTGTTTGAGGATGCAAGAAAACCTTGAAAAAACGTAAATGTGAAATATTCCATCTTTTTAGCCCTGAGGGCTCTAACTTGGCAGTTAAAAGTCTTGTGTGGAAAAGGATCAGACCCTGGGGAGTTTGGTTTGTGTTTTGTGTGTTGTCTTGTATTTAACTCTCCTTGGCACAGGAAGACATCTGTGTTAATTGTCTAAGCAGTAACAAAAATTACCTGTGGGAGAAATTTGGAAAGTGCTGCTGTTATTAGCTGCAAGCAACATCTATAAAGTAGTTTCAAGGTTATTATTGTAGTAGGGATGGAGACAAGTATTGTTCGGGAATGGGAAATGGGAAAACTGGGATTAAACCCTAATTATTCCATGGTTTCAAATGTGTCTTGAGGCAAATGACTGTTCTTCTCTGCCTTTGCCCTCCATTTGTTAAGCGGACATGCTGACGTGGTTTGCATACCATGCTTTTTCCAGACATTCAATTGTTTGACACACTTAATAAGACTCCTTGGGGATGATGTTCACTGATCCCACTTATATTTTTCAGCTGGGGATGGGTGATTTTGAAGTACTGTGATGGAAAGCGGTGACACTCAATAGGTTTCAGAGTTCAGTCTTGCTCTCAGGTATGCCGGGATTTTTATCACAACTGCCAGTGGGAGCAAAGTGACACTGAGCAAGAAGTTGCTTCAAGTCTGAGAAAGCTTCAGAGCAGTAAAAGCTCCTTTAGGTTGAGCTGTTGCTACTGCTTCTCCCAGATTGTTTTTGTAAGCTGTGGTTACAGACATCAGTGCCAGCAGGCAGGGCTTAGTGGTGATGCTCTCTGACACCAGGGTACTGCAGGCCCTGTGAGCCCTGAGCTCCACGCTGGGGGAAGGGCGGGGGGCTGTTCAGACCTGCCCAGAAGGTAGAGAGGAGGGGGACGCAGTGCTGTGTCACACTAGGTGTTACTGAGGAAGGTCTAAATGTTGTCTGGAGAAAAGCTAATCAGGAAAAGCTCCTCAGCTGGACAGAGAACTGAAAACCACCCTGGGAAGGGAATCTTCATGTTCAAGAAGCTTGGGGTGTATCATGACAGCTCAGGGGGAAATAGCCCTAAAAGACGTGTAGATGTGGCACTTGGGGACATGTTGTAGTGGGGGTCTTGGCCATGCCTCGTTAATGGTTGGACCTGATGATCTTACAGGGTTTTTCCAACCTAAATGATTCTATGAGGAGTAGCTTACCTTACTCTGGTCAGAGTCCATGTGGTCTCATATTGGAAGAGACCACTATGTCCTAGTGCTTTTCAGGGTGTGACAGTCACCTTAGAAACACCTTGAGAGACAGCATCCTTGCTTACTACAGATGTCTTACACAGCAAGCCATTACATCAGATTTTTGTGTTTAAATACATCAATTCCCCAGTTGCTTTATAAACTTGAAATGCAGGAAATTTCGAAGCATGTTAAGATCCTCAAATGTGTCAGGTTTACTATTTAAGAAGCAAAGGGATGATTTTTTTTTTTTTTTTTTTTTTACTGATGGTGTAACAAGGGAAGACATTGCAGAGTGCATGGGTCACATGCTGTCCAGCAGGGTGGTGTCCTGTTGTGGGTAATATCCTCAGCTTAATTCATTGCATCTAAACAGAAAGCTTTTCTGTTTGAGGACTAGATGACCTTTAAAGGTCCCTTCCAATCCAAATTATTCTATGATCTCCTTTCAGATGCATTTAAAAGCCTGCCCTGACCTGAGATGTATAAAAAAACTAGTAAAAAATGTTAGAAAACTAAAATTTGGACAAAAAGTTCTCAGTCCATTCTTTAAGCTGCTTGTACTAACTCAACAAGGATGAACATGTAAAAGCTCTTTGGTACCCTGGGACTAGATGAGTAGAAAATGTTGTGGATAGAAGTGGAAACTGTTCCCAATGGTAGTTGTTTCTGAGAGATGCCTGTTCACTTTGCTCAGAACTTCAAAAACCCCAAAACTCAGAACCCCCAAACTTCAGCCTAGTGGAAAGCACCTGAGCTGCCTCTATGGGCAGAGTGTGGGTAACTCAGTCCTGAGTGGTTGTCCTTCTCCATGATGCCAGACACACTGCCCAGCATGAGTATCTGGACTTCACTGAGTGGTCTGAGTATCATCTAGGCAGCAGCTGAAATCACACTGGGACAAACCAATTAAATGCCTTGGACCTTCCTTTCAAGGGCTCATATAAATCTCTTTTCCCACCAGACTCGAAGGAATGCAAGGCTGCAGAGGTAAATCGTTAAGCTCAGAGATGAGTTGATTTATTGCGCTGCTTGTCCATCTCCATATTTGATGATGATCTGGTGCCAGCTTTCACATGTGTTGACCACTGTGTCCCAGTTGAAATCTAACAGTAATTAATTTTACCTGCAGAACCATGAGACTGTACATCATCTTCTTACTGGCAGTGGTGAATACAAGAACCGCAGAAGGGACATCCTGTGAAATGGTAAGGCTTTACTCAGGCCCCTTGAAATCCTGAATGAGACTGAGATTGCCATGTTACAGGCACTGTACAAACAGCTATAATCTCTGACAATGGGAATCCCCCAGGACCAGACTCTCCATGATGGCAGAGATGGGATTTGGGCTGTGTCCTTGTTGTAGGGACAGCACATAAGAGTGGTGGAGTGGGTGAGGTTGGAAGAAGGGTCACTACCTCCGTTTTTCTCTAAGAGGGAGCTGGCTAAAAGAAATCTGACCTGATTTCCCAAGACCAGACAAGGATTCTGTGACTGAGACAGAGAAAGAACTTAGACCTAAAATCAACTCCTTTATATCAAGCCCATGTTCTTTGTGCTTTAAATAAAGTATCTTCTGTGAAATGCATCTATACCAGCCCTTTTGTAATAACAGGGAGACTGACCTCCTCTGCCCTGACACAGCATTGCTGCCAGGGAAGTTGTACCTGACTTCTGCTGGAGGGAAATGAAGTGACAAAGCCTCTTGACCTAGTACAAAGTTTGTTCCTTGAATTTTTGTGAGCACCTGGAACAGTACTATGAATGTTATTCAAAGCAGAACTTTCTCCCTTCCCTATCAAAGTGCTTCTGATTGTATCAGGCCATTTAAGAATAACTTTTTTTTCCTGAACGTTGAAGCTGTTCAGCACAAATCCTCAAGAATTTCCAAAATAGGGAAAAAAATTATTTGCTAGCTGTACACAACTCCCTTATGGGACTCATTCCATTCCTGTCCACCCTGATGTTTTGCTGCATTTCCTGAATTCCAAAGGAATTAAGACCTAGTATATATAAAAAGATCTTGGGAAGGTGTCTGGGCAGCTCAGCTCATTGGCTGGAGAAGGAAGACTGATGAAGCCACTGTCAACATGTCAGCTCGGGTCCCATGTATCATAGTCATATGAAGGCTGGGCAAGACGTGCAATAACCCAAGCAGATTCATCCCCTCTCATTTCTTGGTGGGTCACAGACCAGGCTGACTGCTGAGGAGTAAACACATGCTTGTTTCCACCACTCCTTTGCTTTCATCAAGCCAACAATCCAGAGCTGTGTGCAGCTAAACTGGGATAAATTTAGCTCTGACAGAAAACACACTGCAGTCAAGGTCTGGGATGCTCATCTGATATAAATTAACAGCTCAGCATTGCTAATGTCCTTTCTGATTGTCTTCCTTCAGACGATGTTTGGTCCTATGGAAGGTGGGTGTAAATCCAAACACAACTTAAAGAAAGAGGGAGCTACTGGATTAACTGATGGTCCGTTGAAGTCCTGCATTATCATTTTTCGTCACAGCCTTACTGTTCTACTTGATACCTTCCCTGTGATGACACTTTAGAATAGCAAAAACTCAGAAATGGAAACTTTCATTCCAAGTCTCCTGGAAGAGGAATGAATCAGAAACTTATGCCCTTCTCTGACTCACCACTGGTGCTCCTATCATTGAACTAGAGTCCTAAAAGAGGAATTGAACACTTCCTACCAGACTCCCCCCCCACAGTACTGACATGCACTGATTGTACCAGTTATGGCACATCTACTTATTGCAAGACAACAAGGCACAGCTTAAATGTCAGGAGCTTCTTCCTAACTCATGTTGCCTTCCGCAGGCAGGTAGGGCTTCAACTTGATCATGTTCACATCCCAAAGAATGATGTTTCTGCTATTTCGTGTTAACTGGCAAAGGATAAGCTTTGAAATAATTTATAGAAGGGAGAGGATTTTAGGGAATTCTATTTTACCTTGCATTGAGGTGATGCAAGAATATGTGCCTAACTGGTTATCATAGGTCAGCTGATGTGGGATACCTGGGCAAACTGCTAAGGTTTGGCTGTGTAGCTGGGGAGTTCTTCCGAGACCAGTCGTGGACACCATTCAGGTGCAGGTCATTGCCAAGTGGCTCCAGCCCAAATTCTTTGGTTCAGCAAGTTCATAAGTTGATAACATAGAACACAAGTGAAGGCTTGGATCCAGCCACTTTTTTATAGGGCTCTTACTAAGGTGAATGACAACTTCCACACAGTGCTGAGCAGTGAAGAATTGGAGTCAGAATCCGAATGATGCTCAGCTTTTGAACTGTTGGGTCATTTTTTGCCAGCACATGAATGGGACCAGACATTGAAGGGGTCAAGTGCTCCTCACCCTGCAGTACTTCTTGCCAATGGATGTGGAATAAACTGATGACAGCAGTGGCAAAGATGATGAAGTCAGAACATGAGTAAAAAAAAGCCTGAGACTTTTCCAGTCTCAGGCTGCCAACCCATTGGGCTAAGACGTGAGAGGAGGAGAGATACATCAAACAGATGCTGTTTGCTCCAATCCACTGAGATGTACTTTATTTTTCTTTCTACTGCTGATGAGAATGACATTCACGCTGTTTGAGCCTCAGGGGAAAAAAGATGGTGCAAAATACAAGAAATCTGGTGAGGATGAAAATAGTCAGTGAAAAAGAATGAAACTTTAAAAAAATAATGGGAGGGGAAATGTTATAAGAACAAATATCAGATAGTAGGAGGTACAGATTTGATCAGTCTCTTTTATTACTGGGAAGGTTCTATGGATGTAAATTCAAGGCCAAATCCTGCAAGATACTTGGTGATCTGGGACTGACTACTCACCCATCAACTTCAGTGAAAACCTGCCAACTGGCATCAACAGGAGTTGGATCAGGACTTTGCTAAGATGCTCATTGCCCACAAGGAGTGGAGGGGGTTTAACACTTGTTGAGATCTGGCTCAAAGTGTGGGAAGAAACCTGGCATCTGCCTTAGGCTGTGAAGCACCTGCTGCTTTCTCACTCTGTATTTTTGTATCCTTCTGGCTTCTCCCTCTTCAACAAACCAAACAAGAAGAGGCTTCCTTCTTGTGCCTTGGAGCTAAGCCAACTCAGGACATATTTTAGCTCAAAATGAGCAATTCTATGGGGACTTTGCAGTAAAGAAATAATTTCAGGGAGAAGCCAGAAGATTTCCTTCTTTTTTTCCTAATTTTTTTTATCTGGGTGAGATTTAAGTGACTTGGAGGGGGAAAAAAGGAAGGTGTTCAGGGTTTAATAGTCAATTACTTGGGATCTTTGGGAAAAGATGTATCACATGAAGGAATCGGAGCAGTCTGTATGTATCTAGAGTTTGAATAAGCACTTAATGCTTCTCTGGCATATTTGTGTGTGGTCTCCAAAATTCAGATGATGCAAAAGAGATTCACAAAACATTGACTAGTGCCCCACTTCTCCTAAACAGATCTGCCACTTAATTCACCTCAAAGTTCACATGAAACAGAAGGGGCTTAATATTTTTTACTTTAAATGTTTCTTTAAAGTCTGAAAAGCATTGTGTCATGGAATCTGGATTCTGTTTCTCCACTGAAGTTAAGATTCAACATATTTCTTTCTTTACTTCTTTCTTTTCTGATCTTTTCATGAACACTGTATGCCCCAGACACCCAAATATATTCATAACAAGAGTTTTCCTCCAGTGAACTAAATGCTGCTTAAGCCTTTCACATTCCACTTCCTCGCACTACTGTATGTTCTCCTTAATAACAAAATATAGCTTGACATTTATGCAAGGATGGTCATGTTCATGTTTCTGATTTTACTGATGAACATACACTCTAAACTTTGGTCTGGGCACAGACTCAATCCTAGCTGCAATTAAACAGACTTGCATCCGGAAGATAAATTTAACTTTGATGCTTGTTTTTTTCATATATCTGCTGCTGAGAATTGGCCTGAAAAGACATGACCCTCACTGCACATCACAGCTTTTTCTCTCTCAAAAGCTGGCTTTACATAATTTGTCTTTTCCATATTGTATCATGGGTGTCTTGTATGGCTGGTTTCACAAGGTGTGCTCCCCACGCAAGAAGAAGGAAACTGGAGCCTTAGGAAAAGGGTAAACACGGATAGTAAAAGCAGAAGAGTTTAGAGATTTTCATCAGAAATACTTCAGTTGTTAAATGACCAATTTGGTTAAAGACGCATCGCTTAACTAAGCCATGGCTAAAGGAAGACATGATCAAATATCTGAGGATGTGAATATGAAAGGGAGACAGGGTTTGGGCTATAGGATCCTTTTATGTTTTTCCACTTCTTTGCTTTGGGACCCATGCTGCCAACAGAGTGAAGCTCTTCTAAGTAGTACTTAATATTTCAAGTAGAGTTTGAAAAATCCGATGCAGTGACAAAGTAAGAAAATTAAACATCAGAACTAAAATGAATAAATAGTGCTTGATTGCAATGAAAAAAAGGGCAAAACTTCTTCACTTGGGACTATTAAAATGAATCCAGGATAAAGGTACAAGAAGGAGAACATTTAGTAGGTATCACATGCAGATAAAATGCTACTGTTGTAAGTCAGAAATGTCTTTAAAATGAAATGAGTGCTGTTAGCTGCAAAGAAGTGTTAGGATTGTTGTTCTTGCTGTCTGAGTGCTCAGAGAAAGTGGTGTGATCAGTGTTTCAGAAGAAAGATCTGCCTAGATGCTGAATGTTATTTTCCTTGTATTTAATGCAACCATGTTTTTCATTTGTTGTGTGACAGCCCCTCTTCTCTCTTTTTCTGGCAGGCAAACTCACAGGCATTTTGCCACAACAAAGACCTCCACCAAATCCCTCATGAGCTCCATCTAAATGTAAACAAAATAGATCTGTCTGGAAATCTGATTCAAAGCATCCCTGAAATGCCATTATCATTTTACACTTCCCTCCAGTGTCTGGATTTAAGCTCTAACCAGATAAGCTTCATCACGCCTGGAGTGTTTGCACACATGACGAGCTTGCTGGAAATAAATTTAGCCAAGAATCACTTATATGAGCTTGCTCAGAATGGAACAGAGGGGATTGGACTTTTACCCAAGGTGGAAATAATGGACTTGTCGCACAACAGTCTGTACAATGGGATGGCTGAGTATTTCATCAAACAAGCTCCAACACTGCAGTATCTTTCCTTGGCAGACAACAGTATTGTAATGATATCACACAAGATGTTTCAGGGATCTCCCAGTCTTGTGGAGATAGATCTTCAGAGTAATATCATCATGGAAATAGAAGAAGGTGCTTTTGAGACTCTAGTGAACCTTTCCAAACTCAATCTCTCCACAAATTCAATTACTTGCATCTCCGATTTCAACCTCAGGCAGCTGGAGATACTTGACCTTAGCAGGAATAGCATTGAGACCTTCCACATCACAAAGTCAGATGATGAATATAGCTTAAGATGTCTGGATCTGAGTGAAAACAAATTGCTTCACTTCCCAGTCTTCCTTCAGGTAAATAAACTGGTAACTCTGAATTTGTCAAATAATTTAATCCAGCTCACTGCTGAATCCCCTCATAATAAAAAGGATTACATGGAAAATGAGTGGCTAGATGGTTCTTTTCATCTTCTTGATCAGAAGCAAAGTAGAAACATAAGTTCTCCTTATTTATCCCAGCTTGTATATTTAGACTTAAGTTATAATGAAATCAAATCCATTCCGGATAAATTCTTTGAATCAATGTTGTCCCTTCACACCCTTAATCTCAGTAAAAACTGTCTCCAAGCATTTTTGGTGACTTATGACAATGCATTAATGTCCCTAACTGTCCTTGACTTGAGCTACAATGCTTTGCAGAACCTTCTCTTTGATGCTGGTGTGTTGTCCAATCTGAAGGAGCTTTATATTCAGAATAACCATCTTCAGACCCTGCAATTTGACATCTTCTCCAGTCTTCCTAGCCTCAGACTGCTTAATCTGCAAAGCAACAACATCAGCCTTTGCAGCATGTACTCCGGATTAGCTAAGCAAAGACTTGCTGGAGAGGAAAGTGGTTGTGTATCATTTGTTGATTCTCCTACTCTTCAGTACTTGTACCTAGCTGACAACATGCTGAACACCATACCAGCACACAGCTTCTACAAGACTTCTCTGATTGTCTTAGATCTCACCATGAACCCTGGATTGAAAATAGAACTTAAAGCACTATCAGGACTGGAAAAGTCTCTGGAATATTTGTATTTACATGGCAATAGCCTGATGGATTTAAATATTGACTTGCCTTGTTTTAGTCACCTTAAACATTTAAACCTCTCTGAAAATCAGCTGAACTGGCTACCTAAGTGGGGTAGTGACTCTCCACTGGAAGTTCTGGACCTACGGAACAATAAGTTCAGTACATTACAGAACAGCAACATTTTAGCATTAGAAAATTCACTTAAAAACTTATATCTCACTGGAAACCCACTTGACTGCTGTGGAAACATCTGGCTTTCATAAATGATACAGAACAAAAATGTCCAGATCCCCAACGTGGAGCACTTAACGTGCCAGTACACTCAGAACTTCGGGTATCAGGAAGAAATGTACATTTGGAACATTAGATCAGAAGACTGTGAAAAAGAGAATCTGAAGAAAATCAACATCCTTATTATATTAACATTTGTGTTTGTTTTATCTGTGATTATCATCGGTGCAGGTTCATTTTTTTGCTTCCGCAGGCAAAACTTCAGCCATCAGCTTAAAGCATAGAAACACAAAATGCCTTGAAAATTGCAGAAATTGGGTGCTACACTGGCAGCCTGTATAAATAAAGGGTGAAACTCTCATCTTTGATTTTTAACTGTGGATTTTAAGATGGTTTTGAAGTGCCCCTGAACTGCACCACTGTAATGGTCTGGGTTCCAAGGACCAGAAGGAGAATTTGCCATGTTTTGCACTTGTTTCATTCACATGCAGATCTGTTTAACAAGTTCATACAATGGTAGAGGAGACCACTGTAAAGTGCTGCTGTTATTTTGAAGGATGTGTAATTTAAACCAGACCAAAAGGAAAAGCCCTCTAAGGTCTTGAGACCTGAGACTTTCCACTAAGCTCAAAGCTCATTGATTACATCAGCCACGTAGGAAACTGCTTCTCAAAGTTATATGCCTCCATCAGATGTTTTGATTTGGTCTGGTCTGAGCTTCGTTTTTTCCTAAGTGGTTAGGTCCTACCACTTCTTAGACTGAAATCATACCAAAATATACCGGAGTGGGTCAAAACACAATCTTCACTCCTTGAAGTTGGTTGCAAATTTCCCAAGAGTTCCAAAACAATGAGAATTTAGCTTAAAAAAATAAAAAAAGGAAATTACAGTTCATGTCTGTTGTGCTCGTGGCTGCCATCTAGAAAATCTAGAAAATGTTTGTTAGAATGTTGCTCCAGTCACAAGGGCAAGACATGAGAAGTATATGAGGTCAATTAGTCCTGGAACTTATTACCCATGAGCGATGTAGAAGAAGTCTCAAGCAAGAAACAACTGCACTGTACATTACCCAGATCTGCTCAGAAGCTCACAGGTCCACAGCTCAACTAAAAGAGGAGAAATTTGCCCCTCATGTGCAATGCATATTTAACTGGGTTTAATGTGAAGAAATTAATCTCCAGGGTGAACATTTTTTTAAAAGAAAAATCTTGGAGATGAATTTTAACCAGCTATCATTGGACTGAAATTTTTTTATTTCTGAGGAAAACTGTTGGCAATTCACTACATACAGTTGCATTTCAATGCAGAAGAATAATATATCTATTTTTAAATGTCACAGGATTTAGTCTACAAAAAGGTACTTTAAAAATATCATTGTGAAATGATACAAGGGAACCTAGTCCTGAGATATTATTCAGATCAGATGTTCACTGTCTCTCCCTAAAGAGATATTATGGTCTATAGGATAGGCTGCAAGAAAAGTTATGTAGATCCTCATTCTATGATGGGTTTAAGGTGGCTAACGTGTTCTGTTGCTAAAAGTTGACACTGACATACCTTGTGTTCTAAACCATGACAGAAAATTAACCATTTTGATGTTAAGAAAAGCTCAACAACAGGGGGAGACTGACCTGCTAACAGGGTTCAATGGCTTTGAAAGGAACTGTGTCAGGTTTTCTTTTAATGCCGGTAAATGTACATTAAAACATACAAGAGTAATAGAGGTCAAATTGAAACCTGTCCAAGTAAATAACTCAGAGCCAAATTGCTGCTCCATACCTATTTTTGCCAACTAGTGAATGTCAAAATTAACACACTACAAAAAGGTGTATAATTCTTTTTTAAAGCATTTATGTAAGAAACTGGCTGGTGATTTTCACTGTGGAATTTTGTACAATAAAAAAATATCTTTGAACTTAATAAAAAGCACAGGGTTGTGATTACATTAAACCACCAGCTTGGAATGCTCCATAGATTAAAAGAAAAGCCTTCATATTTTTCTATGGTATTCAGACTTCACCTTTTACCTCCTGGTCCTGGAGAGGGGCAGCTGCTCCATATCTCAGAGTATGACCAGTGGAGAACAAGATCTACTGAAGATGTAGGCAAAAGTTTGGAACAGGTTTTCCAGAGAAGTTGTGGCAGCCCTATCCCTGGAAGTGTTCAAGGGCAGGTTGGATGGGGCTTTGAGCAACGTGGAAGGTGTCCCTGCCTATGGCAAGGGGGTTGGAACTAGGTGGTCTTGAAAGTGCCTTCCAACCCAAATCATTCTGTGATTCTGAGATTCTACAAATTTGCACAAACCATCAGCAGCAGTGGGGCCTGATAAAACATCTGCAAAAGCCCATGCTAATCATTGGCTAAAGACCTTATTCTTGTAGGAAAATGCACAAGCAGTAGCTGCAGGGAAGCCTGATGCTGAAGTTAATGAGCTTTTCCTTTGTGTGTGTGTGAAGGCAAGCTGAGCTGTGTGCCCAGATGTGGGCTGATTTGCCATACACTGAGTTCACAGCTTTTGTGTCGAGCATGGCAAACTTATATCTCCTTCTGAGAGCCAGTTAGCTTGATTAGGATCAAGTTGGAATTAGTTAAATATCTGATAACAGAGCCAAACCCATTTAATTAATGGTTTTAACGCTACTTTTATTTGGGTCTCCCAATAGGAAATGCTTGTTATTACTAAACATCTGGGACTAATTAGACTTTCACTGACTTCCTTGGGAGCAGAAACAGTTTTCTTAAGAATAAGTCTCAGGAGCAAAATGCAGCACGGCTTGTTTGTGTTTCTCTGTTAGCAGCATAATAAACCAAGAAGTGACATGACCCTGCTCCATCTAATTCTATTATTTTGGATGGGGTGAGGAGCACGAGGGAAAGAAAATATGGATAAAATAGAGAGGAAAAACGGGTAGAAATGTGACCTCTACATGGTGTTAATCCTCAAAATAAGGGTATGTAGATGACAGCCGCAGTCTTGCCTTTTCCGTTTGTTACTGTGTCTGCAAAAAGCCCAAACACCAAAGTATCTGATCCTGCATCAAACACAGCCTTTAGTCACAAATTACACATTTTTCTGCCAGTCAGCCCCATTTTCCTAATAGGTTGGTGTAATGGTTTAATGAATTAAAAAACTAACTCTATCCCTGCCAAAACCAGGATAGTAGGCACAATGTAGGCTGTTTTGGCTGTAGTTCTCCAATAAAAATTTTACACCCTCAGTCATTATTTTTTCATAAAGTCCTTGCAACAGACTCTGTTGTTGCAAAAAGAGCTCATACTGCTAAACCAAGGATATCCTTCTGGGATTTTGGGATATGTAATAAAGTGTTTGGGATTTATGCAGCCAGTGCATTTTTTTTTAAATTGCTGCATACAACAAATGCCTTCCTCTCTGCAGGTGTTTGCATAGGACAGGACAATAAAATCATGGAATTAGAGAATGGAAAGGGACCTTAAAGATCATCGAGTTCCAGCTCACTTGTGCCATGGACAGAGACACTACATCAAGTTGCTCAAATTCCCTTCCAACTTGGCCTTGAACTCTTCCAGGGTGGGGCATCCACAGCTTCTCCAGACAACCTGTTCCAGTGTTTCACCACCCTCTGAGTAAAGAATTTCTTCATAACATCTAATCTAAACGTGTGCTCTTTCAGTTCAAAACTCTTGCCTCTTGTCCTGTCATTATCTGCCCACATAAAAAGTCTCTCTCCCTCCTTCTTATATGCCCCCCTCGGGTACTGGAAAGCTGCAACGAGGTCTCCCCAAAACCTTCTTTTCTTCATGCTGAACAGCACTAGATCTCCCTCAAATATTTACTATCATGGTTTGCTGTGGTTTTTTCCCCAAAACAACCCTCTGCAGTGGGATCAGGTAGAGCTAAGTACTGGAAAAACCAGAAATGCTAGAAATTCTAGAAACAGAGAGAGGCCCTGAAAGTTCAGCAAGTCGAGACTCATATTGACCATTCATGAAAAATCAAATCTCAGTTTCCAGAGGTATTGGCTTTTTTTTCCTGTGAAGCCAAGACAATACCATATTAGAGCATCAGAGCCTCTGGCTACAGATCTCTCTGTAGGTCCCCTGCTCAGCCCTGAACTACCCACAGTGGGTTAGTATGCAACACAAGTAAAGGCTTTCAAATATTTTGGGACCCCAAAGCATTTGCTTTCCTGGTCCTATCTGTTCCCCATGCCATTCAGTACTCCTCTACTCCTCTGAGGAGAAACAGACTGAAATCACAACCCAAATCCCCTGTATCTCCATGAGAAAGAAAAACAGGTCCCACTTTGCACCGCAAGGTATCCTCTGGCCATATTATTTTCTATAAACAATTACCAATTCTGTTTGTGCACATATGTGCAAAGGCACAGATGCACACAAGCTAGTCTAAGAAATACATAACTTCAGGACTAGCTTTGTTTGACCTAAATTAGAACAGCCTGTGCTAAATGATCATCTGTAATAACAAACAGCCTGTGCTGCTGGTGCCTGTGGATTCCTATTTCATGCCTGTCCCTGTGATCATTTTGATCAAGATTTTCAAAAGTGATCCGTGATTGATTTCAGATGGCTAAATTTGCAGCCTGTATCTCACCAACCCTGAAAAAAGTCTCGTTTTCCAAAAAACTGGGTCCGTTTCCTCTCAAAATCAAGGCTCTGTGATATGTCTTATACAAGCCCCAGAAAAAACCCTGTTTGTCCAGATGTATATATAATTATTTCACTTGCAGCTTTCTAATGATAGTTTCTGCTTCTCCAGAGTTGTTTTGAGCATCTGAAGAGCTGAAAAACAGCAAAGCTACCACCAACAGCTCCTCAGCCCTGTAGTCTACCCTCAGAAGGACCATATTAACCCAACTTAAATATCTCTCCACTCTCACTCCCCCACCCAACTATTGTTGTGGCATAATTTGAGTGACAAAGGAAAATTAGCCATAAGGAACAAACAAAAATTAGGTGTAGGGTCTGCAGCTTCCTGTGAGCACTGCAACTATGCAGCCAGATCAGATTTTGGTCTCACAGATCCTGGTTTAGTGAGGGTCCAAATAGATTTTGTCAAGAAAAAAGAGGAATGGGGGATGAGAGGACTTGAGAGCCATCAGAGTGCTCAGAGTGAGTGATGGGAAAAAGAGAAAACAAAGCGTTGGTGTAATTCACTCTGAGAATTGAAAAGCTAAAAATACTCCAGAGGAACAGACAGTAGTAGGTACTTTCCCACCTCTCCCCAAGAGAAGATCTGTGAAGTTTCACCTCCTCTCTTGAAAAGTGAGAAGAGAGCCGAGGAGATAGATAATACAGAAGTAGAAATGAAGGATGATAAAAGCAGTGAAAGATGAAAGGAAAATGGAGTAGAGAAGAGGG